TTTTAATTAAAAATAATTGCATAATTTTCATGATTTGTTCAAAAATTGTGACTTAGTATTTTTGATATTTTTTATTAGGTAGGTAGTACTAGATACTATAAGAACTTTTGAGAAAAACTTGTGTGACATTTTTAAGGAACTAAAATTCTAATAAAATAAACTGAAAAAAACGAATAAAAATCAACAATTTCAACTGTTTATTCAAATTACAAAAAAAAAGTCAAAAAGACCCGAAATATTTTGAATATTATTGATATCTATAAAATGCTAATATAAATATTTGGTGAACTATTTAACTCTACAATTATTATTAAATGTTCGAATTATAACAAAACTGATTTGGTCAACAACTGCTGCCGAGCAAATAAATAAATATTCCCGTTTTTTCGATCATCTTACATTTTACTCCCCGAAAGTATACCAACTAAATCTAACTTTTGGTATCAAAAACTTTTTGGTAATTTTACTTGTCCAACATAACAGACGACGAAAAGATTAAAAAACAAAATACACATAGGTACTATACCTATCAGTGTAAAACCAATCGCTCCGTTCAGAAAATTAAATACCTATGTATAATTTACAAATTAGTTAAGCAATACTCTTACTCTATCTCAGCCCTCAGGTAATATAGGTACATGTTGTGTTGTTTGTTTGAATTTGTATTTATAATTTTTAACATTCTTTCTATAAAAGATTAGAAAATTATCTAATATACTATTGTTTGCTGACTTGTATGTTGATTCTCTGGTAAATAAATTTTGTTTTTTTATGATTCTGCGTAGCTAATATATTATGGCACTACTATACATTAAATAATGTTCATAATAATTGTAGCTATTTAAAATATTGTACCGATATCTTATTTTTTCTGCGCTGACCAGTCTATTTACCTCAATACTTAGATAAATAGTACAGTTTATTAATTATTACCTACATTTCAACCATAAAACAACAATTTTTAAATACAATACAATATAAACTTAACTTCTAACATCTTAGAATATTCGAAAACTGAAACCTATTTAGTAGACAGGTATATTATTTTATACGGTTAATAAATGTTTCTATTTGCGCAGATATTGCAATTTAAATGTGTGTGATAAAATAATTAGTATCTTAATGAGTATTAAATCTTAATACAATCATAATCATATATATTCATATTATAAATTATTTGGTACCTACCAACCATATATTTACAATATTGAATAATTCATATTAAAATTACTAAACTCATCTATAGAACTAACACTTTCAATATGATATCATACGGTTTAAAGAAATTTACGCTGTAAAGACGTTTGCGCTATCAGTACCAATTTACAATTTTATTTGTTCAACTTGACTTTTTTTTTATTATAACCGACCACATAAAGTCAAGAGATCATCATACTCGTATAAAAATATTTAAGAATATATGCAAACAAATAATAACCATAATTTAAATATTGTAATCAGTAGGTATATCATACCTACTATATACATCAAACGCCAATTACAAGGAAATAAAACTTTATAACGTTACGTCGTTACACATATATACGGGACAGGGTCTTATAATATTAATTACCATGATAAACATTACTATTATAATAATAATTATTATTTATTATTATTCTCTACGGCGATGGCGAAATACGAATGCGAATTCAAACCAATCGCCGTTATAAAACTGCACAGGATTAACCGATTTATCAACTATTCAATTCTTACCTCCGTCATTTGACAGGCCTCTTATTTTTATTTTATCATTTCTCTCGTCATCTTCCCGATCATCTGCGCAAACTCATACTAATTGAGAAGTCCCATGTATGTAATCATATACCACTCAGACGAATCGTTGGAATTATGATAACAGTGTATTATAATATTATGTCAGTATCTATATATATATATATATATGTAAAATATGAATAATGAATATGATGTAATGCTCAAAATCCACTGCCGCAGGGCCATTGCCTTTTTTTTTTTTATCGGATTGAGATCGTGGCTACTGGCTATTTCCAAGTTCAAACATTTTTGTCCTACGTCAAACGTCGCCTGTTCGTTACTTGTTAGTAGACAATTTCGTAGAAGCCAACTGAACGCGATCAACACGAGTAAGATTCCAACCACAGAAATCGAACTCATATTATAATTATAAGCTCGTTTATAATATCGTGGTCATGTAGGTATGTGGTGTCTGTTGTGTTAACTATATGTAGACATGTAGTATGTATCGTTGTTGAATATATTATTAAAGTTAATAAACATAAAAACGTTATTAATGGCGGTCATAAATGTGTAGAAACTAGGTCAACAAAACTGATTTCATAATTATGATGCATATCAGAAAAACATCAAATAGTTAATACAAAATAGTTATACACTTATTATATACACCTACTATACCGCTGCTGTTACACTTTTGTATTCTAAAATCTGTCTAACCGTTGTTATTCAAGATAATTATAATTACAATACAATAGCTATATATTATTAAAAAAACACAATACTATTAAAATTCAGAAATCATACATATATTAGTAGGCATTATTTATAACTATTATTTAAAGCTAATATTTGGACGCTTATAATTCGTAAAATTATTTTTAGACTCAAGGCATCAGCTTCCATCTATGAATAAGATCGTATCGGAATTTTTAACAAGTATATTATAGTTGTTAGTATTTATAATTTTTAATGTGTATGTGAATTTTGAAATATAATAAAGAAGTTGATGGTGATTTCTATACAACTAAATAAATTAAAAATTAGCATGTATTAAAAACTTTGATGACCTTAAAGGTTTGATAATATATAAAATCATATATGGTATTATCACGAATGTTGACTAAATCATATATATTTGTTGTAACTTTATCAAGTTACAACTGATATAACTGTTATAAGTTTATAACCGATATTCAATTAAAAAAAAATGTAATGTTTTATAATTTTTATTTAAGTTACTATAAGCTATAGTATATACCTACAAATTACAATAATAGACATTGGATAAATTGGGCCCATTGGTTTATACTTACACATATTCACGAATGTTGTGATTACAATACTACCATTATTCATTATGATACATTTTTGTCTAAACAGTATATTATAGCCATATAGGTACTAGGAAACAAATAAACGATGTGAAGACTTTGGAATAACACGCATATAAACTTAATATGTAATGATGAAAAATAAAAATAAAAATAAAAACGAGAAAAAAATATTTACAGTTTGGTACCAAGTACATCCATTAATGTGGTCCATTAGAACATCCAGTACATAACTGTTATAAAAATAAAAACAGACAACATACTGTAATAGTATAAATGTATAATGTAATGCATACACATATAGCTAAGATATTTTTATTTGTTTTATGAGTTAAAACTTACAAAACATCTTGGGTTATAGTATGTGTGAAAAATTAGTTTTAAATTCAAGGTTAGATAAATATTTTCACTCCGAATAACGAATAGGTACATTATAAGCCGGGGTGTCCCAAATGGCCAAATATCCCACATAAAAGTTACTAACTAGGAAAACGGGAGACCGCCACGAACCACAGAGTAGGTATATTGTTCCCAGACGTGAGTTATATGTTTTTGTAATTGATGATAATAGTTTCTCATAGCTAACGAGCATAATAGTATACAGGGTGTTTATTTTATCGAAGAACACTCATTATTTCGAAAACAAATAAAGTTTTTGAACATTTTTGTTTTCTGTCATTTTAAGTTGTTACAACTTACAATATACTATTTTTTACTATTTATTAAGTTTTTAATTTTTTTTAATTACAATCACCTAGGTACTTTTCCGAAACAGCTTAGAATAGTATTTTAAGAATTTCAATAACTTTATAAAAACCAAATTTCGAATGAGTATAGGTAGAACATAATTAATTACTTAGGTGTACGGTATTAACCTAACTCATACACTAACTATTTACTATTCGTCAAACATCTTAAAAATAGTCTGCAAAATTTGTTGTTTTGTACCTAACGAATTAAAATGATTCAAAAGAAATATTTTCTGAGGCGTTAATAGTTTTTGAAATAATAAGTGTTCTATGATAAAAGAATCACCCAGTATAAATTGTATTTTAAAGGTTTAATTTTTATTTTAAGTTCGTCGACCTTTTGATTCGTACGTATATATTTAACCAAAATGCAGTAGTGCATTATGTTTAGCAATGTAAGATGTAATTTATATATTTGTATTATACAGTTATAATTTAACTCTACATTATAAATGATAGTTACCTAATAAAAATAAATAATGAAGTACGAACTGATCTTATTAGTTACCTATAACTTATAAGTTATAACCTATAAGTAGGTACCTGTATCTATACTATTAACCAATAATATAGCATCAGTGAATAAATTAGTGTAGACCTAACATATATTTATTATCTCATCTACAATATAAAATATTTATTTTATAATATATACTAATAAGTAATAACTATATACTAATATCCTACTTTTGTGTGTCGTGTATATACATTTATTTATGTTTTATTGTTTTTATTGCCATATTATTAATAATTTTCTAATTTGTTTATTGAGATATCAAAAACAAAATTTAACAAATTTAATAGAGTGTAAATTTAGAACTATTTAAATAGTTTTAAATTAAGTATTCCAATCACGCATAAGGATTAACAACAATTGTGTATAGTCTACTGAATTCATTGCTGTGTCCTTCCAAAGGTTAAAAATAATTATATTGAAAACGACCTTGATGACAATTATTTGTTATTATTTTTATGCTATGAATTCAACTTCATTGGATAACCCAAACGTGTAGATCATACAAAATATATAGGAGATATATAGTTTTGATTATACTTTTGGTTATCGAGTAATGTATATTTTTCATTGTTTTTCAAAATATAAATAAACTGATTTTAAATTATTTTCCAGTGTCTTCAATTGATTTGTATAATTTTTTATAATTTAAATAAAATAAAATATAAATAAATTCGTTTTTTTTAGGTGGTGTATATTATAAAAAGGACAACTCTAATAGCCTTAAAGGACCATTAAAAGCGGCTAGACTATGTATTTTAAGTTTACTTGTGCCTGGTATTTTGGTCATTGCACCATTGTACATTCGTTATCATGTCTATTCTGATCATAAATATCCTTTAGCTATTACTGATATGAGAATATTAGACCAAAAAATGTCAACATTTTGGTGCCAAGTAAGTATTAAAATTTCATTTTTAAAGAATACTTTTTTAAAATTATTATAATTATTTTCAGCGCCATATAGTGAATACTAATGCTACTTTTAATGCATATTTGATGCCAGAAAAACCATCTATGTTACCAAAAATGGAATTTGTTGAAATGGAGAGGCATATTACGTTAGAAGACGATATTAAAGAATATTGGGGATTTTATCTACTTAAAGATTCAATTGTAAAAGTTTCTACATGCTCAAGGTTAAATATATTTCACGATATTTTTTATTAATCAAATATAGTAATAATAATAATGGATAAAAAATTTTATTTTCATAATTTAAAATTAAAAAAAAAATTACTTGACTAAAAACATCTAAAAATTAAGTCATGGACATATTATCATTATTATATTTTTACAGGTGGCCTGGAGCTAGTATAATAGTTATTAAAGGACACAAACATTTAAAAGAATGCGCTTATATAGGAGATAATTCTAGTGAAGAGGTTGATGAAGTTGAATCTTCTGAAGAAGGCAATGACACACATATTCCAAATTTTATGAGAAAACTTACTTCTGGTATGACTGTGCCCGATATGGCACCTGACGTGGTCTACCTTACAACTCATCCAAATGATAGTTATATAAACCGCACATATTTTAAGAGATCCAGTAAAACTGCCAATCATCATTTAGATTATGCTGAAGATTTATATCAAAAAGAAATGAAAGAAAAAATTGAAAACGAGGATTATGTAGCCCAAACAGTAAAATCTAAGCCCGTATTCACAAACGTTAACGAGATCAATAATATACCTCAATCAAAAGAATTGATCGAAGAATCATTAAGAAAATTGGGAAATCAGGGAAAAGACGGAGCTACACTTTTACGCAAACTAAAAGAAGTTCTTCAAAATGATCTAAACGAGCCAATGAATGACACAAATAGACTTTATCAAATAATTGAAAATGCAATGGCTGACGATGATACATCATGGCGTGGTCCTAGACTGAGGCATTATCGTAGTAGATTTAAACGATCCACTGTAAATGAAAAATATCAAGACAACTTGAGCAAAGAGTTATTTAAACATGACCAACAAAACGATGCAGCCAATGAAGAGGTACATAGTATACGCTATAAATTACGTAATATATAACTATATATACCTAAGTAAATATAAATTATATTTTTTAACAATAGTCTAAAACTCTTTGCATCCTAATATCCTATAGAATCTTAGAAACAAATATATACAGTTAGGTTAGGGTTAGTTAGGCTATGTTCCAAGTTTCCAATACGTAATACATTAGCATAAGAAGTACTAATGAACTTTAACCACTTTTACAAGCAATTAAATCTTGCAATCAACCTATAAATCCAAATACCTGTAACTCGAGTGTGTAAATGTCGACGCATTTTTCATGCTAACCACGAGGAGTTATTAAGTTAGAGAAACATTGAGACGTGTTTTTTTCGGAAAATATTTTTTTTGTTTACATTCGTACAGAAATGTTGAGCTTTTTAACTAAAATAAGTCAATTTTAAAATTTAAAACAATTTAATTTTAGAAAACAACGTGAAATAGCAATCACCTTTAAATTATTGAATATTTTTGGAAAACAGCTCCACTCGTTTTTCATATACCTACCTACGATGAAATTATTATTATTATTATTATTATTTTAAATCTATAAACACTAAAGACAGCAGCGATTAATCCAGATTTTAATTCTCATTAAAATTTTTTTTTACATTGTATAAGTATACTAAATTCAATAAAACATACAAATTAAAAATAAAATAGAATATTTTCAGAATCATTTTACGTTTAATAATACAACTTATAAAGATTTAGAACACTAACAAATGTTAACGTTACGTTATTAAAGGAGTTAAAACTATATTTCAGGCCGATGCGCTATCATCAGATGGGATTGCTCAAGTTCGTGGAAAAGTAACTGAAAACAACACGCACACGATGAATAAGGACCGTAGTCATAGTGAGTTTTGGTCGTCATTTTCCAGTAGTGAAGAAATGCTCCTTGAATGCGAAGGTCTTTTATTAAGCTTACCATTAGCTCCACATCATAAATGTTTACCTCCGAACAAAGATCCTGATTATGAAGCAGCCAGCCATCCGAATACTGTTACTTATAAGTATGTTTTATTCATTTTTTTAATTACTATAATATATTCCTACGCTATATAATTGTACCGTATATACTATATAAATATTAGTTAATAGTTATATAGTTATATATAAATATTAGTTAATAGTTAAATAGTTATATATAAATATTAGTTAATAGTTATATACTTATATATAACTATTAATAAAAATTCAAACAACTTTACACTTAAAATTTTTAGTTTTTTTTTAAAAATAATCTATGATCATGTACATTAAGAATTTGAGTACCGATATAAATTAGGGTTTATCAAAAAATAGTATATTAATATTTTATACATTGATGTATCAAATATTAATTTTATATTTTAATATTTTAATTTAGGGTTCCTGGTGATGGATATTATTTTTTCGTATTCAACAGCGAGAACGAGATTCAAGATAACTTTATACGTATACATTTTGCCATCAATAAAACCGTGTACGATGTCTCAAAACCAATTTCATCTTGTCTAAATGTAACAGGTGAATGTCAATTACCTTTAAATTTTTGGTCACAGCAAACAACAGTCTTAGAAATGTTAAATCCTGGACAAAATAGTGATTCTGGAGATGAATTTATAGCAATTTCTACATGCCAGCCCAGATCTGCAGTATATGCCATTTGTCTGATAGCAGCACCTGTTCTGTTTGTTTTATTTTCTTTTCATTGATATTTATATCTGAATTATCTTTTTGCGTGGATTTTATATAACTAACTATAACGTAAAGGATTTAAATCATAAAAAAAGATCAATTAAAACGTTCTGTGATTTTAAATGTTGAACCCAATAATTAGTGATAAATATTAATATAAAAATTAATGAGGATCCCGCCTGAAGTATTAAAATATCTCATAAAATGTATTTAAAAATAATTCTATATCATTCATAATAATATACTGTACGTCTGTACTACTGCAGCTCAATTTATTAACATCGGTAGTATAAATGTATAATATGACATATTTATTATGTTTTATCATTCAGTAAATCGTTGGTAAATTTTATTAATTATATTGTTTATATATACCATCAATATTTACATAAAGATTAAAATAAAATATTTAATAAGCCACGAATTTAAAGTACAGATATTTTGAATATTGGATGTTGAAAAAAATAGTTTATGTCATTGAATTTATAATATTACATTTGATAAAGTTGATGGTAATGACAACTTACCTGGATGCCACCGTATACTGTATACACTGTATACAAAATCGGTAGTCTGTACCTATAAATGTTTAATGGTTTGAAATTTGAATAAAATTAGGCAAGATTTTATAAACATTCCTAGCTTTTTAAATTCCCTTGATAAATGTCTTAATAATCACTAAATTCAAAAAAGCGTAATATATATAGATAAAATGAGCTAAATTTATCAGCACAAATTAAAAACTAATAATAATATGGGACTAATTTGTAATTAACTTTGTTAATTATTTAATTTTCTTAAATACCATCGTAAAACAAAATGTTGTTATAATTAAATATTATTTTCAAAAAATGAATGAGACTGAAAACGAGTTTTGAACTTATTGTTATTTATCTGTGATCAAAAAAAAATTAGTTGATTTGCATCAGTAGGATGTTTTGTAAAACTTCTTTTTCTACGTGCTTATAGAAGTACGTAAATTATTTTGTATATTAGTTATAGATTTATAATTTATAGTTATAACTTATAAATAATGATTTAAAGTCTGGAATATGCGTACCAACAATAGGGTTATATAATTATATTACTCATATATTATATTTATATTCAAATCGTGTAGAAATTTTTGTTTAATTAAAACTTTTTACCTTTAACAAAATATGTACCTACAATTTATTGTTTTTTGGACAAATGTTAAATTTAATTATGGAAACGTATAATTATAACTATAATAGGCTTATGTGCATTTTATATACAATATTATACAATAAAGCTAATGTAATTATTTAAATGAAAGTAGTCCTGGTTCAATAACCGTCATACATTATAAAGTTATTTGAAAGCCTAGCCAATAGAAACCACTTTATTTACATTATTTTATTTGTTAAAAGTAACTTTTTAATTACCACTGCAGAAATCTTAATTTTTTTGCGTTTTATTAGTTTAGAAGTACCTACCTAGTAATTTATTTGTGTGGAATTATTAAAGTACTTTAACAAATGTTAAATATTTAATTGTGTTTAAGATCATATTATATACAATCAAATTAATTTAACGATTATATACATTCTATAATTAATCATTATTATATTAATAATGTATTGTTTATAAACGTATAATGTAAGTATACCTAAACAAATTTACAATCGGTTAGTGCATATTTCCATACGGGTGTATATCTTATATAATAAAACGCTAATAACGCGTATAAGATCCGCGGGGAGCGCTCACGGCACTCCGCGTTTCTTCCATGACGACCAATCACAATACTTCCCGCGCGTTCGCTATAAATTCCGCTCGCTTATCTCCCTTTTCCTTATCGACGAATATTTTCGAACATTATTATTATTATTAAAAAAAAACCCGTGTTTTTCAATTTTTTGACGTGATAATAACGTCTTATAAATCGATTACCCCGCGACCGTCGGGCGGACCCATTAAACGAGTAATTATTTTTGACGAAGTATAACTTAGCCGGTATTCGACTTAGAGACCCCGTACCAATGGGCATCTCAATTTTTTAGGCCCCAGATGAATTTTCAACATTAGGGAACCAAAGCCCCCACCCCCCCCACATTTTGAGTTGAGTATAACTCGGCCGGAATTCAAGTTAAAGACCTCGGACCAAGGGGGAACCCATTCTTTTTATGAATACTACCGTTTTCCGCTTTAAGGAACGGGGGCACCTCCTCCCCCCCTTTTTGGATTTTGCTTTTTTGATGGATTTTGGTCCGGGAGAGTACTAACACCCACCTCACCAAGGGGAAACTCGGGGTTTTGAGTTTTTGATAGGATTTATTGGGATTTTCTTAAATATTGTTTTTATTGATAAGGAAAGTGATAAGAATTTTATTTTATCGCCGCGAGCACGGCGACGCGGCTTAAGAGTCATACATTTGCCTCGCAATTTCATCTGAGTACGTGGCTAGGTTGGTTAGGCGTTAGGATAGGTGACTCGAGGGTCGTGGTTTCGAAACCGCCGCCAGGGCAATAGATAATTTGCGGCGCCCGTGATAAATGGAATTTTTTTTTTCGCGTTTTTTTTTTGGTCACATTAATCATGTGTTCCGATTTTTTTTCAAAATTCGCGTTATTATAATATTATATATATCGGTATTTATATATATTTATTTTGCAAAAAAATAATAATTAACATTTAATTAATACTTGATTTTACCTTGACCAACCTACAAAATAATTATATTGTAGTACCTACTTGATATATTACAGTTTTTAGGTGATTCCGATTGGGTTAAATATTGCTACAGATTATAAATACTGTTTAATACGATATTAATAAACTATATTAAAAATAGTACGACTATATGACTGTTCCATTTGCCGTTTTTTTCGAAAATTCGAGTTTCAGCCCCTTTCGGTCGTATCACCCTCCCCGTCGACGACTTATTCGAGTTCCCCGCTAAATTTATAGCCGGCGTGCGGCCCTACTTTTCCACAGACGAGTCCCGGGGAGGAGAGGCGTCGCGGAAACGAGAGTAGGTACCGTGTAGGTATCGCTATATACAGGCATAAATACATGCGTCGAGGCGTTTTTTGGGGAGCCGTCACTGCGTTATCTTTCCTCCTTATCACTTTTCACGGTTTTGACCATTTTTCACAATTTTTTTTCAACATTTTTGAGGTTTACCCCCCTCGGGTGCCTCGGGAGGGCCCGTTTGGACCTTATTCGCGTTCCTCGGTAAATTTATAGACGGCGCGCTGTCCTACTTAATTCCTGGCCGGCCCGCGGCGGCAGATATCGCGTGCGATACGAGCGCTGCCGTCGCGTGTGTTTTTTGCCGTATTTTTTAAAAAATTCGAGTTTTATCCCCTTTCAGTCGTATCGCCCTCCCCGTTTGGATCTTATTCGCGTTCCCCGCTAAATTTATAACCAGCGCGAGGCCCTACTTTTTCAAAAACGAGTCCCGGCAAGGAGCGGCGTCGCTTAAACGAGAGTAGGTACCGTGTATGGTATCGCTATATACAGGCATAAATACATGCGTCTCGAGGTTCGATTTTCTTCGCGAATCTCGCGACGGTCGTCCGCTCGCCGACGCTGTCGGATCGCCCGCTCAAACTCCCTTTGAACCTCTTCTAAACGGCGTTCGCCTTTCGCGGGGACGGCAACGCGGCTTAAGAGTCATTGATTTGACTCAGGTTTTCATCTCAGTAGGTAGTTAGGTAGGTTAGGTGTTAGAATAGGTGACTCGAGGGTCGTGGGGTCAAACCCCCTGCCCCCCGGGAATATACGATAATTTGCGGCGGCCGTGATAAATTAATTTTTTTTTTCGCGTTTTTTTTTCGTCGTTCGCTATCACTTCCGTCTTATCATTTTTAACGTAAACGTAAAATTCGAGTCCCGGGGTGGAGTAGTGTTTCGGAAACGAGAGTAGGTACCGTGTAGGTATCGCTATTCACATACATATATACATGCGCCTCAAGGTTCGATTTTTTTCGCAAATCTCGCGTTTTGAACGTCCGAAGGCGGCGGAAACGGACACGGTCGCTTAAACGAGAGCGGGTACCGTGTATTGTATTGTATATATTATGCGTCGCGTCGTTTTTTGCGGAGCCGTCGCTGCGTTATCTTTTATCCTTATCACTTTTCACGGTTTTGACCATTTTTCACAATTTTTTTTCAACATTTTTGAAGTTTACCCCCCTCGGGTGCCTCGGTAGGGCCCGTTTGGACCTTATTCGAGTTCCCCGCTACATTTATAGACGGTGCGCGGCCCTACTTTTTCACAGACGAGTCCCGGGAAAGAGTGGCGTCGCGGAAAAGGGAGTAGGTACCGTGTAAGTATCGCTATATACAGCAATAAATACATGCCTCGCGTCGTTTTTTGCTGTTTTTTTCTAAAATTCGTTTCTTGGCCCGTTTTAGTGGTATTACCCTGCCTGTTTGGATGTTATTGGCATTCCCCGCTAAATTTATAAGCCGCCGTCGTCAGTACTTCGCTCGAGTCGAGTTCCGCGGAGGAGATCGGGGAGCGGACAGTGTTGTTATTACTTTATACGGAAATGAAAATATGCGACAAAAAGTTCGATTTTTTCATACACACTTTCATACACATAATACATAAGTCATAACACAATGATGCACCATTATAATTATGCAATTAAAATTACTAAATAATTTAAAACATCATATGACATTTAATAAATTGGTAGGTAGGTACATCATATATTATATACAGACATACAATATAACAGCAAAATATTATGATATCATTTATACATACCTACGTTTAATATGATAGTATTACATTTCAATAAAATTTGTTATTCACCAATATAATTATCTATTTGTTAATTTGATTTAATTCTCATAATTAAATAAATATACATGGTAGGTATATCAGATTTGAACGGCCGTTTCGAGCACTTTTCGCTGTAGGCGGATTGTCCGTTCGGGAATCGACTTTCACCCGAGATGACTGATAGGCGATAGCTAGACACTCAAACTCAGAACCCGAATTTCCGATTTCAACACACATACGAGAATCGGACATACACG